CTGCCTCTTAGTTCATAATTCGAAAACAGAACTCACTGACGTTCCGGATTCGCCGCTGTAATTGGGCGCTGAAGCTGGAGGAGGAGGAGGAGCAGCAGCAGGAGTCTCGGGGACACCTGCCGCATACGGTGGGGGCTGATAGATAGTTGGACCCACGTATGGAACGGGCGCTGCCTTGTATATCGGTGGTGCTACATATGGAGGTGGTGCCACTTTGTAGATAGGTGGTGGTATATATGTCGGAGGAGCGATATAGGTTACTGGAGCCACTTGGTAGATCGGCGGGGCTACATAGGGTGGAGGTGGAAGTGGGTAAGCTGGAATTATGAAGGTTGAGGCAAGATTATGCACTAGAAGGCAATAACGATTGTGAAAAAAATTCAGCGCTGTTCGGCTTGGAGGGGGCATTTTGCACTTCCGCTAGTTTCCTTTGTTAGTTCATGTTAACTAACAGGTCTTACTTCTGTGAAGCCTGTAAAGTTTGTGAAGCAGCGAAGTGGTACAAGCGAACCATTTCTGTTTCAGAACTTCACAGGTGACCTTGAAAAGCTTCGCATAGAAGCGCTAGCGGCCCCACCAAGCCGAACTGCGCCGAAATTGAAATATACTCAAATGGAATAGGAGAAATTACCGGGTGGCATGGCATATCCTGCATGGGAGCTGAAATATACAGAGCATAACTAGAGATTCAAGACAAAGCTTTCTAGCTGTTCTAAGCTCTAGAGCATTTAGTATTGACCGTACCTATAGACCAAACAGCTGAGGACAAGCAGAGAAGTGATTTCGGTCGTCATGGTGTGCTCCAAACATCTCCAACTCGCTTATAAGCCGTCTTCGTTTGTTGATTCAGTGTCGCTGATGAATTAAAACTCGTTCGCCCAAGGATTTTCTTCAACGAGTACGCGACCTCCGAAGATTCTGGCCAAGTCCTCTCAACACTCCATAAAGAACCAATCTTCTCTCGAGATTCTTGAAATGTTTCCAAAAAAACTAACGCTGAATTCGTTCAATTGCTTCCAAACATAGACGCATGTTGGGGACGTTTTCGTTACTCTACTTGGTGTAGGTGACGTCACGAGGTACAAGTAATCTTTGAGTGCTTTTTGAGTTGCATACACTTCCCTTTCAATTTCCTCTACATTGGGAAAACACAGACTATCAACCAGACTCCACAACCAACAAAGCAGGGCAGAAGTGCAGAGTGAGTTAGCTGTGCAACATGAAAACTTAGTAGAAAAGAGGAAATCTTTCGGAAAATCATTAGTACAACACAGCGCAAAGAACATTGCTTCAATTTTCATAGTTCAGATTGGAACCAAGAACCTAACCAGTCCATTGAGACCTGTGTATGACATATGGATGAAAACTGGATTGGTAAAGAAGAAAGGTATAGTACTACTCGTTTCTTCTTCGCTGATTCGTAGTTGTAGGAGACTTTGTTGCCGCTAGGTAATCTTTTTCTATTAAACTTTACATACCAGTTTCTTGAGTGGCGATCTGAAGTTCGCGTATCAGACTGTAACTCTTCTCTCTCTCCAGCTTTTGACCGACTTTTTCTGAGGGGGCAGATTTGGCTGAACACTTGGTTGTTGGGGTAGTTGGACCTTCCTAAGCACAAATATCACCTCTGCTTTACGTAAGCTGCCGGGGTGCTGGCGTCAGAGCGCCGGCATCAATCAAATTCGCTGAAAAATTGTGTAGGGTTAACAAAGTGGTATTAAAAAATGAATGCCTGTTTCGTGATCAGGGACCAAACAACTCTATTATGCAATTTCTTTATAGATTTTGATGGAAAAGGTTGCTCAGGGCTAAAAAGGAGAGTGGCCGATGTGTCGTCGGGGGGGCATCAGGGTACCGAATAAAACACTTACGACGCAAGTTCACCACCGATTTGTGAGAAAAGTGGTGGCACCAAATTGACGCCTAGTGGCGCAGATGGCGTCAACGTCAAAACCGAGTGCCGTACTCGTGATCAGGACATCGAATTACCCTCTGTGGCCAAGTTTCACCAGAAAAATTTTCTAGTTTTTGAGGTGGTAATAGCTGGATTGTGCCACAACCTCTAACAACTTCTCTAACTCTCTAACGTCCTGTTTGCAAACGATCTTTACACCCTTCTTTACAATCCGTTTATGGCGTGAAGTGTTTGAATGGGTGCAAGACTTTGCGGCCGCAGACACGATGAAGTCGTTGGAGCTGAGGGAAAAAATTCTTTGCATGTGAAAACTTGTGGCGTTACTTCGAGGCTGAAACGATCTGCATGGGGATAGTTCCTCATAGGTGTTTAGCAGTCAGTTTTCCCAGTCTCTCTATGAAATCCTATTTTCTATCTATTCGCTATCTATTCACCTTCTCAAGACATTTTAACGGCCGGCTGTCTATCAGTAAAGCTACATTAACAGATTGAACGCCGCGGCGTTTCATGCGGCGATTCCCGGTTTTTACTCCTCTGCGTACTCCCGCCGCGTGAATTGGCGTGCAATACAGAAATCCAGCGAAACGGAGTACCTTTGTTGGCGCAGTGCCCCTTTACACGCTTTATTCGGTTTCTTTTGCGCTTCATTTTTATCATTGTTCGTATGAAATGTTGACTTTTTTAGCTGCATAGATGACGCGCAGAATACGGGAGTATGGCGACGTGTATTGCCGACATTTCACGCGGTGTTTCAATGTCGGTTGGGACTTCCTCCGCGAACGAATGACTCACGGAGAACACGTTCAAAGGCAAGATATGATCGTCACTGGCTTTGATATATTCCTATGTAGGTTGAGACGACAATGTGATGTCTTACAGCAGTGAGACGTCAACGTGACTGTAGGACCGCTGACATATATGTGGAACCTAGATGGATGAAAGCTTGTTTTGGTGAACCTTTCGTAACAGCCCCCCCCCACTTCCATTTGAGATTGGCGGCCTGAGCCATCTGCCACAAAGTTGAAGAATCTGTTTTTTCTTAGACAATCGCTGGTTGTATCTTTGTTATGAGGGACAATTCCTTAAATTCAGGGTCACCCTACGGTATTGAAACTTACTCAAAAAGGATCAGGAAATGAAGAATTCTCGAAACTAAAGCGGAAAAAATTCTTTCTACCACTTTGGATGTTTTGAGCGGGGTCCAATCCAAGATGTCTCTTATGCGGTGTCACGTGTAGCTTTTCACCTTCGCCCTGTGGACAAGGCTTACGGAGTAACTCTGGGGTCATCCTAATAGCAAGTTCTCACAATCGTGATTGGGTTTACTTCTAGATATGAAGTCCAAAGTGGGGTAGATGATAGCTACCGCAGGCTCCTTCTCCCATCAATCTCTATAACTTACCCTCTGCGGTATATAGTGCTAGTTCTGATGACTGTGCTCTTGTCCTTCACTGGAAAGTGGGACGGTCTTTGCGACGCTCGGGCAAGGAAAGTACAGGATTGGTTGAGCGCGGGATTTATCATTCAAGCCCACATCACACATTGGGTGCTCGTCACAAAGCATATGACTGAAAGGAGTAGGCTGTGGTGAATGCAAACGGTATTGAGAGATTTATTAATATTCAATCCTTCTGCAAAATTAGAATGTGTAAAAATTAACAAACTCTATCAGCTTAAAGGAGCAGCCCATCCCGGCCGCATAAGTAGAGTCAGGCTCACCTTTGCTTTCACCATTGGTGCACCCTTCCTTTCTAAGACAGGATTAGGAGTGGCGCCAATGAGGAAGCAACGGTAGGCAAGACTCCGCCCACAAGACCAGCGCGGACTGTGCCTTTAATTCCAGTTTCTGTAATCAGATCTGCCTGAAATATACATACATATTAGGTTAATGAACAATGAGTACATTACTATACAACTGAAACCAGAGAGTTCGATATTATCACACGCGTTGTGCAACAAAAACTTGAAAATTTGAGTTTTTGAAAGGTAAGACGAAAGAGGTTCAAAATCCGCGCACCGTTAAGTGAAGTGAAAAGGTTTTTGTAGCGATAACTCGAAACAGTCCATTCTGCCCCATTTGAAGGGGAGAAAAGCAAAATTCATGCAAAATGACTTCAAAAAGTTAGGAAGGTGAGAAAAGCAATATCAACAAACACTACAAGTTACTTCAAGGAAAAACAAATCACACGCACAAGTAAATGTATATGAATGACACTCAACATTTAGTATGTCCCGCTTTACTGTTCCAAAATGAAGACAGCGAAAATCAAACGCCAGTGCCAAGCGAAAATCTAGCGCTAGCGCCAGATTTCCTTTTGGTCGTTCAGGGCCCAGTTCACTCGGAGAGATTTCAATGGGATCCGCGCGTGCAATTTTTGACCATTCATGACCACATCCGGCTCGAATACAGGGCACTAGTTTCCAAATTTGACACCGTGGCCATTACTCAACTCCACATGTCATGATAGCGCTTTTTTATCCTTTTACTGTCCCAGCTTCCTTTTCATGGGGCTTTAGCCAACACTTGCCCCGGGAAATACTCTGGACCTCTGAGCAGGACCTGACATCCGAATAATGAAAGTGCCCCCCACAGCGGCGCAGACGCTGGCACCTGTTTGTAGCGGTCCCTGGCTCCATGTACCACGCATTTTCACTCCAAGCAAATCCCAGCATCCGAGTAAAGAGGGCCGAATTTCCTTGATAAAGTCTTGAAGATCTTTCGAGACTGTAGGCCGGTCATAGCTTATACCCTATTTGCTTGGTGTCCCCAAGCAAATAGGGATAGCGAAGATAGCAGTCGGTCAAAATGGGCTCAATTTTCAAAATTAGAGCAGTATTTAGTTAATAGCGCCCGTTTTCTCTCTAGGCAACTGGGTGTGTATTACGGCAGCGTGTCCATGATCCTAGTCTAGGATGGATTAAAAACACCTGAGAAAAAACGTTAAGTCACTTGAACACTTAAAAAATGGGCCTGGAAAACTATTTTACCCCGAACATCTCATATTAAACAGACCATTCAACGTTAGCCACTATCAAGATCCTGCAAACGATAGGGCGTGACTCGGAGGTGATCATTGCTGCCAGTGCACCAATTG